TTTGCTGAGGAGCCCAACTTCTCCCATTGACTTGCCCTCCTCATAGCAGGCCCAGACAGTCCTGCTCCCTCTTCTTAAATTTGAGCCTCAACAAGAGGAAATGGCTGAAGCTTAGTTCTTGCTTCTGTGTGTTTTTGTTTTGGTTTGGTTTTTTTTTTTTTTTTTATTTTATTTTATTGGAGGAGGATTGTTTTGGCTTATTCATACATCATCTGAGCAGTATTTTAATAAGGCCTAGCTGGAAACAAAAAGGGATATGGTATTTTAGTTTGACTCCTTTTTCTCTTTTTAAGGAAAATTTCTTGAGAGGATAAACCAACAGAAATCAAAAGAGATGGTAGGGCTGGCACTAGGCAGTAGCTGAGACTGCAGCCAAAAGATCTGCTCTTTCACAGCCGAGACAAAAGTAAACGTAAAGGCATTTGGAAGTGCTACGAGGCAATGACCAGGGTGCTCTGTAATTAAAGGCAGTCCCTGAAAGCTGCATGTGTTAATTTAAAAGCCTCCTGGCTACAACATACACCACCCCAAATGCCCTTGCAAAAACCTTCATGTAGATTCAAGTGTGATTTTAATTTCTCTCCTTATAGGCAATACTGTGCTGAGGTTGTCTAGGGCATACAAAGCCTCTGAGATCATATCTGAAGCCTATAGGCTGTGTTTTGCAAAAGTCAGGCCAGTCTGTGAGAAGACAACTGTAACTTTTCCTGTTGCACAGTCACTAGAGTATGCTTGTTCTCTTTCCCTTGAATCTGACAGCAACCATGTTTTCAGATTCGTGGCCCCCAAACATGAGTATATCTCAGCAGAGCTTGAAAGCAAGTTCTTCTTTAAGTTTGATTTCTCAATTGTCTTTTAAAAGATGTGCAGTTGTGCAACTACATCATGTACCTTCTCCGAGTAATGACCACAACTGGTCCCCAAATGTTTACCAGCACAAGGATGCCTACATGCAGGAAGTGGGAAATGGGGGTGGGTCTGGTAGTTACTCTTGATGTGGTCAATCCACCACTGACCTTGTTTGGGTAAGGGGAAGGGGAGGATGTGAAAATGTGACTCTGCTTTAATCTCTTGTGTGCATTTTATCTCCCCTCCCAACTTTCTAAAGAAGTTTCATCTGTTAGAGCCAGCTCCTTTCCCTCCTTCTTCCCCTTACAATTATAGCAGGCACAGGGAGAACAGCAGCAGCAGCGGTGGCGGCAGCTGAGCTGAGGCTGAGTTGGGCAGGCTTGTTGTTGAGCCGAAGTGGTGATAGCATCAAAGGAAATGGATGGGGATTTCTGAGATCAGAGCTGTTAGGGCCATTCATGATTTGTTGCCAGGCTGAAAGCTGCTGCAGAGAGAGCTGCCTGAGAAATGCTGATTAATACAGTAATTGAGGTTTTCTATGAGCGAGAAGGAAAAAATGAAAATATGACTAAAAATGTTGTTTTTGAAATGAACAACGTTTTGAGATTGCACATTCCAGACAATAGCTGCTACTGGTATGAAAGATTTCTATAAAAGAGCAGAAAACTTCTGGTTGAACAGAAGTCTTTTTATGTTTCTCTATTAAGGAGGAAGGTCAGAAGGTCAGTCTATATATTTCTTTAATGGCAAAGTTTCCTTTTTGATTCTTTCTTTAGTACACATTCTTAACAATTTGTTTCTGTCTCTTCTTTCTTGATAAACTTAGTTTTATTCCAGACCAGGCACCGCTAGGCTAGACCTGCACACCAGCAAAACCTCTTCTCCTGTGCTATGTAGTTCTGGGCCCAGCTTCACTGAGGCACCTGGAGCTAATTTCAGGATAGCCTTGGAGTGTGCCACAGAGTTGTTTGAAGTCTGTAGGCTTCACAAGCTGTACTCGCCTCCCCAGGCTCCAAGGAGAGAGCCGCACTGACCTGGGATATTGGCATCCTCCTGCCGTCCTGATGAGTATTTCATTTCATCTGATCTGATCTCATCTCTGCTTCCTCTTCTTCTCCAGTCCCAAATCATTCTCAATTCCTTGAAAGGCAGATTTGCTTTTCTCTGGCTGTCCTTCGCATTAAGAAGATCAGTCCTTGTGGAAAATGCAGTGACCCTGTTTTCTTACCCCCTCCCCTTTTCTGTTTTTTCTTTCAATCTAACAGGGAAGTGAAAAGTTCTGAAACAGCTGCCTCTCAGAGTGAGACTATTTTTCAGTAAAATAATCGCCTTCAGTATGACTACATTGTTTTTCTGTTCTATGTGGTGTGACTCAGCATCAGTTAATTAACCCAATCAAGTAGGCCGGATTTCTCTCCTTTAATGAATGGTTCTCCCTACTTCAGAGCCTTCCTTAGACCTCATTTTGTATGTGCCTCGGTTTTACAGGGTATATCCAATTACATTTATATCCTTCAGCCCAGTGCTTGGGCCACCTCTCTTGTGGAATTACACTGTGGTGGAAGTTAAGCCAGGACACTCACTTGCAAGCAGTTGCCCTACTTATGTCTGCTGCCACGAGCCCTCCCGTGTTAGCGCATACAGAAGGTCTTTACACAGATCTACTATTCTCAGCATCGCAGACCGAAAATGGCAAGTAATCCTTTCCACGCGTCTTTTTATCAGAGGGAGGAGGAGCAGGTTCAGGGAAGGGAATGTGTACGCCAGTCAGAAAGGCACCTGACTGCACAAAACATGCTTCCCTCTCCACCCCCCGCCTTTCTCCCTTTTTCTTGTTAAGAAATATGTAACACTCAGATCACCCCAAAATATCAGTGCACGTGTGTTTAGCAGAAGAATGTGAAACTAGCTGCCGCGTAATGTGCCAGGAAAGCAGTGAGAAATATGCTTGCAGATGTGTGAGAAAGGAGGAGGAGAAGGAAAAGTAGTAGGGGTTGCCTGGCAGTGAAGCAGCCAGCGTCCACGCTGTGCTGCGGATGGCTATAAATGGAATTGTGCATCACCATTCCTCTGAGCCCTAGGACGCCTTGCTGAAGGGACAGGACCACTGAAGGAAGTAAGGCATCTGGATGTTTTGTAATGAGAAGCAGGAATGCTCTTAATAATAAACAAACAGGACATTGTATGCCATCATCACAGGATGTCCTTCCTTCAGCCAGCACACTTACTTGGATCGGAGGAGGGAAAAAGAAATTGGGTGCGCAGTGCACTGATTGCTATCCCGACCCTCCTCCTTCCACCACCAGCGTGCTCCCGGGTGGTCGCTTGTGTGTTCCCTGTGTGAGATCCTCGCTCATTTTCTTGCCACACTGCGACAGAGGCATTGGGTTTGGAAACGCCTGCTGCCATGCCCCACTCCTGTGAGCTTCCCTGCTGTTACCTAGGGACAGGCGGCAGGTTTTAGTTAAAGGCAGAAACATAGATGTTTTTCCTAACTGCTTTTACAGAAGTTGGCTAGAAAGCGACTTGGAAAGGGGATGAACTCAGACTTCTGAAGCTCCCAGTGGTAACATCAAGGGTTGGGAGAAAGCAGTTTAAATCGGGTTTTAATCGATATTCTGAAACCGGGTCGTCATTTTAATTGTTATTTTTGTGATGCTCCCTGTAGACAGACTGGGGGGGAACGAGAGCGGGTACACAGTGGAGCTTAAAATTGCAGGAGAAATACATTTCTAGTAAGAACCGCCTCACGTTCGCTTCTCCTGAGGCACGGAGGTGCTGCCTGCCTACCCACCCGCCAGACCCAGGCAGGCGGGCAGCGCTGGGCCATCACACCTTGGTCGGAAAGGGTGGGGGGAATATCAATATTAATAATAATATAGAAAGCAAAGGCCGGTGTGTTTTGAGGGGCTGGGGCCGGGAGCCGGCCGGGCTGGGCCGCGCCGCAGGTAGCGCCCCACCTCCCGCGCTGTGAGGAGAGGGAGGGAGAGGAGGGGCCGGTGCGTGAACGCCAGCCGCGGGCGGGCCGCGCTCTGCCGGGCTGTGCCGTGCCGTGCCGGGCCGGGCCGTGCCGCTGTGGCAGGCGGCCCCCCAGCGTTTCCCGGCGGCAAGAGCAGGGTGCTCGGCAGCACCTGTCTTGACAGCGGGGGGAGGAGCGGGCGGGGAGCGGCGGCGGCTGGAGGTGTGAGTCAGTGTCCCGGGGATCCAGCCGCTGCGAGCAACGAGCAATGTTTACTCGGTAGAGATGAGCCACGGTTGCCGCCGACGGTGGGCTTCGGTGTGGAAACGCGCGCGGACTCTGCCCCGGTAAGCAGCGCGGTGCTTGCCCCTTCGCCCCCAGCACCCTCCCCGGCTTCTGCTCGCCCTCCCCGGCGCCCGGAGGACGGGGCAAAAGTTTCCCGGTCGCCTCGCGGCTGGTCGGGAGCGCACCTCTGACCGGCGTTAACCCTTTCGCTCCGACGCGCAGCTGTTCCCCCCCCTCGAGTTTCGCGGTTCGCCTCACTGTAATGCCAAAAGCCGGTCCCTATTATCGCCCCGCTCGCCCCGACTACGGCCGGGGCTGGGCGCTGGGGGCTGTTCCCGAGGCGGCTCTCGGGAGCTGCCTGCCGCGGCTCCCGCCGCAGCGTTCCCGGGCGGTCCGTCCGTGCCTCCCCGCGGTGCGGGAGGGGCTGCCGCGGGGGTCTCCAGGTAACCCTTGGCCAGCCAGCCCTGCACCCCTTCCTCGGAAGGGCGCGCTCTTCCCGGCTTCGCGTTTCGTTTTTTTCCGGAGGAAGGGTGTGAATTTTGCAGTAGCTGGGTATCCGAAAAGGAAAACCGAAGGGATTTTATACCGGGCTTGAACGTCATTCCCGGTTACTGTCACAGGCACAGATTTGGTTCCTGATGGACCTTACGAAAAGAGCCCGACCTACTACCTGTTTGGGGATAGGTTTGGTAACAGTGCTGCTGAATAGACGCTGGGTCTGAAGAACCTGGTGAAATTGGCCAGTGAGGCTCCTATCTAGTGTTTTGAGATGGTGATTATCAGCGGTACCATCAAAATCAGAAGACATAGAAAAAAATTTTTAATTACTTATTTTCCCAGCTCCTTTTCTTTTTTGCCTCTCCCCCCTCTATGCCCTCTTCCCTCCCCCCCGCCCCCCCCCCGAACGTGTTGCAGTGCTTTGTGCAGGGCTGCTGCCGCTGCAGTGATGCTGGCAGGATGTCGGCTTTCTCAGCCTTCCATGCCAAAGGATAAGGGGACGTCAGGAGGAGGCGGGGGGGGGGGGGGGGGGGGGCAGGTTGTTTTGAAAGTTGTTTGTGTGTTGAAAGCCGGTGGGAAAGTTCAGGCTTCCCCATTTGGAAGAGGCAAGGCTGGGTTCCGCTCTTCCAACATGCGCTTTCCATTTTTAGCTTCATTCAGACGCAGACAGCAGCTCTTTTCCTCTTCCTCTCCTTGTTTGTGACACTTTTCTGAGGCAGCTTTTCCACAGGAGACTAAGTGGTCTCACGGCCATGACCCCACATTTTCTTCAGTATGGAATATTCTTTTTCTCTCAGAGGCATTAAGGAAAGGGTCTGAAAAAGGTAAAGCAATTGCCAACCTAGGGTTTTTTTCTCTTTGTTTTTGTTCCCTCCTCATTATTACCGAGGCTGGCGTTTTAAGGCGCTGCTTCAGTCAGAGCAGCTTCGTTTACACTGCTTTTTGGCTATTACTCAACTGTACCAACTATCCTGCATACGCTTTTAAAGTGTCACAGACTACTGTATTAGTCACACTGTATCAACGGAAACCACAACACTGAAGGACAATGAGGATTAAAGGCTGTTTTCTTTTTTTCCAGGCTGCTACACAGTGTAGCTCGGACGCTGTGAGTTTCAAGAATCTGGTGAAAGGGAGAGAGTGGACAATGAAAATGGACATGGAGGATGCTGACATGACTCTGTGGACGGAAGCGGATTTTGAAGAGAAGTGCACATACATTGTAAACGATCACCCGTTGGATCCCAGTGCCGATGGAGGCACCCTAACTCAGGCAGAGGCTTCCTTGCCAAGGAACTTGACTTTCAAATACGCATCTAACTGCAAAGAGGTAAGCGGCAATGCTCTGGGGAAGGTTGGACTCAGACAAGCCAAATCACAGCACTTTGGAAAGTGTGTGCTCACCCTGGCTTCCATTTTTTAAAACACGCATACACACGCACACCCCACCATGAGCAACAAATGCCGCCCGCTGGCTTTTAAGATGGGACCCTCATAACTCCTATGAGGAACTGAGCTGGTCATCTGTCATACAAAATTTACACTGGAAGTGGCAGCTAGCCTTATCCCTGAAACTGGTTCTATACCAATTCGCAAACAGTTAAATTTTCACACAGTTTGAACGGCATCTGAATAAGCATATTTAAACTGTGGGGTAGTTCTCTGTGCCAATTTCTAGACTGCTGTTTGCCAGGACCATTCATTGCCTCTGGCTCAGAGATTAAAGTGCCTCAGTTGTCCAATAAATAGCCTTAAAAAAAGTAGAGGGGGAAGAGAAAAAAAAAATAATCCTGGAAATGTGTTTAATTATTTCTTTTTGTTTTCTCTTTGGTTATGAAATGGCTTTATTCTTTTCATGAGCTTGCTGTATTCCTGACTTACTAAATTCTTAAAAACTGCAGCATGTCAGTTAAGGAAGTGATGGTGGAACTGTAGCAAGCTTGACAGAAGGGTGGCCATAGCTTAAATTAACTTCTGTTTATCTGGGACAGTATCTTCAGTGGTAGCTAGCCGTGCAAGTCTGTCCTATCCCTGTCCCTGGAGTGGGTACATTCTTTGTTGCTGTTTCAGAAGGGCTGGAAAGAAATGAGCCCGGATGAGCAATTTGGTTTTGTGTTTACTCTTTCATATAGAGTAGCTATTATAGCTAGGTGTGATGTTCAGCAGGGTAATAACCCAAGGGACAACCCTTCATTTCTCCTTGTGCTGAGACTTGTGGTATAGCAGCTATTACCTGTGCTTCTACTTTGGCTAAACACACTGACCACAGAGCTGAAAAGAAGAGGTACACTCATCTGTGTCTATCAAATATTTCCTACCAGAGCAGGTACTTGTTTAATCCTGCATACAGAAATAGGGCCAGACCCCCAGCTGGAGGGTGTTGGCACCGTGGAATTTAGCTTGGCAGTGCCAATACAGTGCTTAGTAGGTTAAGTAAGAGGTTAAAGCTGAATTCTCCTTAAAATCACTCCTTCTCTTCCCATCTGCCCTGCCCTGCCCTGCCCTGCAGAACTTTGGCAGAAAAAGGACATCCTCTAGAAAAAAGAAGTGCAAACCCTTGGTTTGTGTTATCATTACATAGGTCTTGCTTTGGTGGGGCTGGGGGATAAAGCTGCGGCTCCACTGTGTGACACAGCAGGATTTTTGGTTGAAGGATGAACTTGCAGCGTGACAGCTCAGGCAGATCCTTGGCTGCCGGCTGGTGACTGACTGGCCACTCAGGCTGCCTTGCTCTATCTCTGCCCCCAATGAGTCCTGGGGCCAGTGTACAAGATGGCCAAGGAGCTTTCAAAATTCCCAGTGCCGTGTTTGGAAACACCGAAGTGTAATTTCCTTACAGTGTAGCTCAGGTCAGTGAATCACAGTAAGAGGATTGCTGCCATCACTGTATGAAGAGGTAGGGGGAGAGAGAAGTCGTTGAAAGATTCCTGGTTCTTGCTTGTAAAATGTGACCCGTGCAGCTCCCTGCTAGTGGGAGTCTGCATATAGGACATCCTCCTTTTGTTCTCCGAAGTTCCCCCCGGTCTTTTATTTGCACTGAATAGTACCTACCGTAAGGAGCAGTAGGAACTTTTGAACCCTGACTATTTCTAAGGTAGCTCTGAAAGAAAGGGCCAATCCGATCCTTTTTTTTCCCCATCTCCTGTGCAAGCTATGGTCCTGGGAATGGACAGACAGGTCACTTGTTTGCAGGATGGAATAGTTGTAAATGGCACAATCCACTTGCATTCTAGCAACTTCTGACAAGAAACATTCTTTTCTGTCTGCCTCCCAAGTTTGATTTTGTTCAGTGGGGTCGGGACTGGGCGCATGTTGCTCTTGAGCATCATGTGTTTGTGGGATCAGCAAGAAAGCCTGATTCTGGTTTTAATGAGATTCATGAGAACCACTGGAGTCCTGACAGCTCGATAGGGTGGGTTTTTTCACTTGTGAAAGGATGAGGTAAGACTTTGGGGGTTGCATGCATGTGTGCGTGCTTGCCAGTGGGTTTCAGATGTGAGCTGTCTTCATTGCTAACTTTGGGGAGAGCTGTGGCTTCATCTGGTTGAGAGTTTTAAATGCTGAGTCAGTTTATTGACAAAAACATACATAATACATGGCTTGTGAAATGCTAATACTGTCATGATTAGATCATGAAATCCTGGTGCTGTCATGATTAGTATTATATCTCCACTTGGAGTAGGAAAAGTACTGCGTGCCTGCTGAGGAGGGAGGAAGTACAGCCGCTGTTGTTTTGGGAGGGTTACTTTTTGTGTTTCTTTTCCTTGCATGCTTTGTGAAGCGAGTAGCTCTTCTGTAAAGGCTTACTGAATTTGCAAGTGTGTCCATGACACGTCATGCTCTTGTTTATTCTTGGATCTTGATCGGGGATTTTTCTGAAGGACACATTTTTCATTATGAGTTCACAGCATGTGTCAGCATTTTAAAAAATGAATTACTACTGCTCGTAACATTTTAGCCTGCTAGATTTACATGAAGTCATTTATTTATTTCTATGTGTGAACTATTTATCCTTTCCTGTAGTTTTAGCGACTGACAAAAAATGATGAAATGAGGTGCCAAACTCACACTCTAGAAGGCCATATGTGAATGATCTTTTTCATGCAGACTGTTAAAAACTTTTTTTTCAGTATTTTTTCCCTTTGGTCTCATTTTTTAAAGCCCAAACAGCCTTTCTTGATAATAACGTGCCAGTTATTCTGCTGTCTTGGATATTTCTAGTGCCTCATCCTGCTCTGTGAGCTTGACGGAGAGAAACGTTTATCAGCAAACCTATTACTTGCTGGATTCCTCTAAGGCCATTTCTTAGAGAGGGACCCTTAGTCAGTGATCTTGACGAAAGCAGTGATTTTCAGCTGTTGTGAGGTGTGCCTCACTGACCTCAGACACTTGCTCTCCCGTACTGCTTTTATTTCTTTTATATGTGAGGAAGCAGGGTGAAAATGTGCTTCATGGCTCCTCTTTCAGAAAACTGGTCACTGAAGGAAAGGGTAAAATTTATGCAGGTTTATGTAACTGTAGAACGAGTAGTTAAACCAATATATATAAATAAATCGGTGTTATTCCAGGACACATAGTGGCCTTCCCTATTTGTGTTTGGAGAATACTGTTATTTTACTGAAGCCAGTAAGAGTTTGCTCAGTGTTTTCTTTCAAAGCAGCTTAGCGCTCCCATTGCAAAATACCCTCCCTTTGCAGAATGGACAGGGGTCGCTGCTTATTTCCAGTGCTCTCTCCCGAGGCAGATGTAGGAGTGTTGGTCTTTCCAAGCGCCTTTTAAACAACGAATTTGGAACCGGAGCCCACCAGTCCCCTGCCCCGGTGCTGCCGATCGGGCGGGCTGCGCTCTGCGGAGGGGCCCTGCGGACTTCTGGCGTGCCCGTGCCGGTGCCCGGCCCCCGGCGCCGCATTAGGACCCTGGTCAGTTCCAGGGCGGCCGCCCCCGTCCCGGGTTGCTCCTGTCCGCGGGCTCTCCGCGCCAGCCCGGCCGGGCGCCGCCGCCGCGCCTCCAGGTTACAGCTGTCCCCGCTCGCCAGCCAGCTCCTGTCCCGCTCGGGCCGAGGGCACGGTCAGTCAGCTCAGCGCGGGTTCGGCAGGAGCCTGGGCTGCCCGCAGCACCGGGAGCCGGCCTTGCGGCTGCAGGCTCGCCTTTGACTCAGTGCTAGAAAAGCTGTTTTATTGAAAGGAAATAGATGGTAGCGGCGCGTTTGCAGGAGTGTTGGAAGTTGGAGCTTTGAAGGGAGCGGGGAGTGTCTGGTAGAGAGGAAATTATTCTGGAAATACCGCGTTGCACCCTTACAGCGTGGTTCAACCCCAGAAGGCTGCGCAAGGGCAGTAGGCATTTATTTGTGGGGAACGAGCTCAGGTCATGCTCCCCTGTGGTTCCCTGCCACGAGGCTGTTTCGGAAGGTCTCATCGCCGAGAGACAGCAGTGTGCTGAAGGACACCTGGTGGACACAAGTCTGAAATGCCTCTCTGCGACAGCTTCTCGGCAGTCGGGAGACGGCTTCCCCTCTGCTGTGGATGTGGAATTCCTTTGCTTTTTTTTTGCCTACAAACCGTCGGCAGCTCTGTACGCGGTGGCCTCTTGTTAAGCCGCCCCTCCTAAACTGTGGCAAGGCGAGAGCCTCTTTAGGCTGGGAGCGGGTGTGGGGGGGGTGGGGAGAGAAGAGGTCTGCCGGCAGTCTGTCCTGGCACTGCTGGCACTCCTCTCCTGGTGGGTACCCCTCCTCAACCACGGCCACTGAGCTTGTGGGGGCACACCAGAGACCAAGAGTTGCTGACTAGAAAGCCAGCATCAGTTAAAAGGCATCCGGACAGTTTTAGTCTGGTTTTGCAGAACTTCAGTGTTGGCACATATGGATGTGCAGAACATCCTCTGCCAAAATAACCTTCTGATGGGTACAGGGTGCGAAATCGTCCTCATATTCAGCTGCACTGGGGAAGAAGCCAATACTGCATGTAAGGTGGATATCAAAAAGTATCTACTGTGTCACAGACACCAGTTCAGTGACTGTTTCAAGTTGACTAGTTCAAGGAGCAATTTCTAGACATTCTGAGAATCATTAAAGTCACTTTAATTAAGCCAAGATATTTTAAAACCATGAAAAAAACTGGAGCTATCATGCAGTAAAACTGGTGGGGTGTGCTGTAGCTTGGTTGTGAACTCTCCTTGAGAGGGCAGATGGATGTAAATGAAGATATATAGGGAAGATGAGAAGAACATCTGCCTTTTTCAGCTCTCTATGAGAAATGTACGAGCAAGACAAAAATAAAACTGAGCCACTGAGCTTGTTTCAGCTTGTGGTAGGTGTAGGAAAATTTCTGGAAGTCCCTTTTCTCTCTCTTCAGTCCAGATGCACAGATCAATGGAGCATTTAACTGCCTCTACTGTTGATGTTTAATTTTTTTTTTGTAGTATGCTGAAACACATGTTGAAACACAGACAAGTGCAAACAGCCACCACTCACACCCAGGAATCTGTTTCCGGGTGGATTACCTCCTTGAGTCCAGGGCTGTTATTTGTCCCCTATATTTGGGCATTTACAACAGTGAAATTATGCTAGGTGTTAGTTGTTTACTGGGGGTTTTAATCTTGACCAATACACAGGCAAGTGTTTCCCTGTCTGTCTCTCTCCCTCTCTCACACCAAGGGTGATAGAACAGAAGAAAATGTAGCCTGCGAAAATCACAAGGCTTAGCTAATTTTACAAAGTCCAGGGTCTTTACCATGCTTTGCTGTGAAGGACTGTTGCAAAGAAGAGAAATGCTCACTGAAGTGAGCTATCTGCAGGAACTGATGAGTGCTAATCTGCTTTGGTAAAAGCATTGATTCCTTGCAGGCTGCAGACTGAAGTAATCCCAACTTTCGGTGTTTCTGTTGTTCTGTCTTGTTCTGAAATCCTGGCGAGCAAAAAGACAAGTGGCAAGACGTGTGAAGGGGATACAGTTAATACATTTTGCCATGAAAGTTTGCCTGTAATACCAAATTAATGGGCTTTTTACCTTCTCTTTTTTCCACTATTTGAACAGCAAGATCAGTTTTGCCAAGGCTTGGGGTTTTTGGTTGACAGAATTGTTGGTTTTCTAACATTGTTCTGCTACATTAAATTTAAGAAGATTGGTGAGCAACAGAGAAACAAAACCAATAACTCAGCAGTGTTTTGCGAAGGGTTACTCCAAGGCACGGTCTTCTGAATAATGATGAATTGCTTCCTGATTTGTGGTCAGTGACTTTTTTTGGTGTAATTACTGTCAAGAAGGAAGCTGAACAACTAGAGTGTATTTCTTAGACCTAGCATAGTGGAGCATTTTCATCAAAACCCTTACGCCTCTGACCAAACCCACTTGACATATGTTACTGGAACTGCTGCCTCCCTTTTCATAAAAGAGGGTGATCTGTGAGTACATGTCCCAAAACCATTTCATACTGTTTTCTATGCGGCTGTATGCTGGTGAGAGAATTGTAGGTTGTCTTTGTTTGTTCTCCTTTTAGCCATAAGGACGAGTATAGAGCAGAGAAGGTGGGGGTGGGGGAAGGTTTCATTTTGATCTGGAGGAGCAGTCATTCCAGTTCCTAACTTATTAAAAAAGTGAGCTCTGTGGCAGTGAAGTGATTGATAGCTATTGAATATTTTTGTTTGCTGGAACTGGACTTTTGGGGTTTGCTTTTGATAGAAGAAATAACTTGTGAAGAAATTTGACAGTCTCTGTATATTTCACTTTACTGTTTCTTCTTGTCAGTGTATTTCCACAAAACACATTTTTCAGGTGGTGTTTGTCTTCCCTATGTCTCAGTGAGATTCTGGTATCTAACAGAGATGGTTGTATCATATCCAACACTTGGTACTTTATTTCTGGTTTGCTGACCTGTCACTAAAAATTTCTCGTGTCAGGTTGCTTTACCTTGTTAAGAGTGGGGGACAGAGGAGAGAAAGGAAGACCTTTTGATTTCTGATGATGATGGACTGATCCTGTGCCACTCTTCTTATAGGTCACCGGAGTTATAAGCAAAGAGTACATCCCAAAAGGAACACGCTTTGGACCCCTTGTAGGAGAGATCTACACCAGCGATACAGTTCCCAAGAATGCAAACAGAAAATACTTTTGGCGGGTAAGCAGGAAAAAACAGCCCCATGTTATTGCAGTAAGCAGCTCACTGAATGAGTACAGCTGAAAAGCTGGGCCACTTCCTGCTGCAGACCTGTGTGAATGCAGGGGGCAACCTCTGTACGCTGCCAGGCACGAACGCAGCCAGTGACAGTAGTGAACTGAGTGGAGCAAAAGCCTGGCTGCCTTGGATATAAGGGCAGTGTGGGTGGAGAGAGGAGAGGAGATGCATAGCCCTTCCCAGCAATGTCTTCTGAAACGTATTGGTGCTTGGTTGTGTAAAGAAACAGTTCTGATGCTTGTTGTAGGGGCAGGTTATTTTGCATTTTTCCACAGTGGAAAGTCACTCTTGTTTATGCAGATGTCATGTGTCCTTGATTTTTCTAGCTGTGCAGAAGCTGTGAAAGTACTGCATAATCTTTTGCTCTGGAATTACACCTTTTGTGACATTTTTTCATGGGTTTTGGATAGAACTGCTATAACACAGGGGTGGTCATCTTCATCATGTTTCGTTCAAGTCATAAGCTTCTCTAGTCCACTTCAGAAAGTGTTAAAAGAACAGCCCACATATCTTAGTGAAGGGAAAAATCCATTAATGGCAGACAAGCACTAGAGGTGATGCCTTATTTGTACTCTGTAGTATAAGCTGGAGAGGAGCACCAGCCAATTAGTTTTGATTTGGGAAGTCTGTGCTCGGGAATATGTTTCCAGGATATCAGTTGATGTAATCCTCAGTTTCCTTTACAGAGCCATTATTAATTGTGAGAGAACATTCCTTCAGCCCCATCTCCTTTCATAGATTTATTTTGCTGTCTTCTAGCTATTTAGGTTGTGTCTAAGTCAGTGGATTTTGGAATATATCCAAGCCTCTGTGCCCAGGTGCCTGCCTGCCTTAGTAATATCCCAACCTCATATCCAGGTGAAACCCAGGGCAAGCACCAGCCCTTTCTTCCTACCTAATTGAATCATTTTGGTTTTCTCAGATCGTCTTCACGCAGTGTAATACAGCATTGCACAGGCAGTTATTTGCATGAGGATTTTTACAAAGCCGGCAACTGTTTTCACAATCATAAGGCTACAGAATGTTTCTTTCAGCCAGATTTTTTTGGGAGCTTGTGTCTAGCCTAGGAACAGATTGGTACACTGGTCCTAGCCCTGCCAGTTGCTAACAAGACAGCAAACATTGGGAAGAGGGGCTGCTTAACCCTCTTGCAGGACTTCATTCATATACTGCAGTGAGAAAGATGACATCATTCTCATGATGTGATTTTAAGCCTTAAAGCAAAGGGATCCTCAGAAATAATATCCTAGGAGCTATCTAAGCATCGTTAAATTCCCTGTTTAATCCCTTGATTCGTTCAAGACATGCTGCTGCATTGAAAATGAATTTCTTCCTAGGGGTCTGACACAGGCTTGCATATGCAAAGGAAATTGTGGGAGATAACTTCCCACATGTTATTAAAGGCATCCTGGGCTTGCTGGCAGAGGCAGGAACATCTGCTGCGTGCGGGGGGAACGCAGCCTGAGCCTTACGCGTTCGTCACTTCTGGGAACTGCGCCATGACTCAGCACATCTGGTCTGGACTTCCCCAGAATAGGTGGGAGTCCAGTGGGTTGCTACTGCCCCGCAGCCGGAGCACAGTGACCGGCAGCATCCGTGGCCCTGTCGTGGGACAGGTGCAGGGCCGGTTTGGGAAGCAGCAGCAGGCAGCAAGTGCCGGAGCCCTGTGTTCCTGGAAGTTTGCGAGCCGGGGTGAGCAGAGAAACCCAAAGGCTCCTCTTGATGCAGCGCAACTCACCCGGCTCCCTTCCATTTTCTCATAACAAACGCACCGCAAGATCTCTCGCAGGCTGCTTTGATGAGGCCACATGTATTTCCCCCTTCTCAGTTTACAGGAAGTTACTCTTAAAGAAAGTGATTCTGGTGTTTACTGCCCCTTTAAAGGGCCAGGCTGCCTCCTCGCCCCTCTCCGCTGGTGGCAATCTTAGGGAGAGGAGGAGGGGTCCCAGCTGGCCGGGGGGCGCTTTCAGGGTGCGCTGCCCGGCCAGGTAGGTGCGAAAGACAGTGGTGTGAACACAAAGGCAGGAACACCTATGGAGTGCTTACCCCCTGAGATAAGCTCTATCTCCCCTTTGGAAAAGCATTTCCTGCTAATCGAGGTTGGTCGCTGGTGCAAGCTGCTCCTGCTTCAAGGTCTGGCTTTTGCCCAGTCATCTGTTTTGCAAAACCCAGGAACCCCATTTTATCCAGCACGGAGCTAGTTCCTCCCAAGAATAAGGGATGTGTCTTTAACAAATACCTCCCCTGGATTTTTATTGATTTAATTTTTTGTTTTATTCTTAGCCCGTTAAGAAGCAGTAGCTTCTGTCAGTGACTGGGACTTCTTACCCCCCAAGTCACTGAGCAGTTTCTAAATTCATGTTTCCTTTCCCGTCTGTGAACAAGACAGAACATGTCCCTCGATAGAAAAAGTGACTTCTCATCGGCTAGCTCCTCTCCAGGTCTTCATTAAGTTATGGCAGGTGAAGTTCATCTTTGCCTCGCCCAGCCTTTCCACAAAAGGGTTACAGTCCAACTATGAGCAAGCATTGCTTTAGGACTCGGGGGTGGGGGGGTGGAGGATGTTTGCTTCGTTTAAACCTTTGGGTGGAGGTGGTAGGAAACTGCAAGTACAGAGGCCATAGAAAAAGGCGAGAAAGACTCTGACATAGCACAGCCAGTCTGTCTTAAATGCAGGTGACTCAAAGCATTAATGCAAGTATGCACTCAGACCTGCAGTCATCAGCATCACCCACTTGTTGATCCTAGCACCAGGAAAAGGACTCTGAGGTAGACTATTCACACAGGCAGGTAGACTGTTCCCGTGGGGAGAGTAGTCTGTATTTCAGATTTTGGGTCTGATTTGTCCATACTAGGAGAGACACGGACTAAGCAGAAATGGAAAAGGTGACTGTCAACTTACCTTCAAATAAGCATTTCTGTTCCTAACACAGCGGATATCATAGCTGGAAAGGGGGGAACCTAGTTTGAGTCTTATTTCAGTAAAATCTGCTCATTAAAAAAAAGAAAAAAGCTTATCACTTCTCTCCTCTGGACTCTGCACACATGCTGCGTGTTGTGCGTGTATATATTCATAAGCACTTCCTCTCTGTTTCAGATATATTCAAGTGGTGAGCTTCACCACTTTATTGATGGATTTAATGAGGACAAGAGCAACTGGATGCGTTATGTAAACCCTGGCTACTCTGTTCAGGAACAGAACTTGGCTGCTTGTCAGAATGGAATGAACATCTACTTCTACACCATCAAGCCCATCCCTGCCAACCAAGAGCTGCTTGTGTGGTATTGCAGAGACTTTGCAGAGAGGCTGCACTATCCCTCCTCCAGAGAGCTGACAATGATGAACCTCAGTAAGTGGATTACAGCATAAACAAGGAATGCTAGTAATGTCTCTTCTGCTTATATGATCTAATAATAAGTTGTATAATTACACAGCTGCATCATCTGTTGTGTCACAGTAGGTAGCTCAGAGTGGAAAAGGGGAATTAAAAAACCCAACAAAACAGAATGAGTTACCTGAGCCCATTCAAATGTAAACATTATAAAAAATATGAACAGTTACTGGTTTACAAACTGAGTCTTATCCGATGAAATTCTGGACTGACAACTGTCCTCTGCCTTCAGAATTATAGATGTTGGTTCACTCTCAGGCCTTCCAGGTCCAGATCTCATAATGTTGAGCAAAAGTCTGCTTTGATAGCATATACTAAAGCCTGTCCAGTCATGCTCTCAAAGGGCCGCCCTCACTGGACAAGGAAATGGCCATGTGCCATGACTCTGTCTAGGTGTCTGACAAAATACGTTTACTGCATAGTGCTCCCTGAGCCTTGCATTTACGCTTATCTTACAGGAGCAAAGCTCCTATGGTCTTCTCATCTGCTTACTTGTTCTGTAAGCTCGTCCCCATTTCTTGGCTGTGTATCACAGCTTTCATTTTCTGTTCAAAAGTAATAGCACTGGTAGCAAGGAGAAAAGGTATTTCCAGGAGTTTATCTCTCTGTTCTGCTGTGGTTTCTGACCATTTCCAGCCTCAGCACTTTACTCAGTCACTTCCAGCTTAATCACTGCCTAGCACCTCACCCAGAGCCCCTTGAGGAGAGGGAATGATTTTTGCTGACTTCTCACTCGACTCTTAGGCTGCATCCCCTCCTGCTAGCTGTGCTGAGATAGAGAAGAGCATTCTTTTGTCCTTTGGCCAGCACCTACACTGAGATTTGAAGGAAAGGTTGCTAGCAGGTTTTTTGGTTTCTTTTTTTTTTTTTTTTTTTTTTGTAAAAAGAACTATTTGCTGATTTTTGGCAACAAATAATGGGTTATAAAAAAGCAGTGTTACTTTGGGGATCATTAGAGTTAAAATATAACCCCGCATCATGAAAATGATGTCACACATTCACGTTAATCAAGAGTACATATGTTCTCCATGGCTGTCATCCTCCTTTCACCAGTTTTTGGTCTTTCCCTGCAAATTACAGAAGAAAATGTGCTTTCTCTTAGTGGCAGAGGGAAGCGAGGGAGAGGATGTCCTGTGCTGCTATATTCCCTGTTCAACAAATATCTCACTAATTCTGTCATCTTTGCACATGTGTCAACTCGCTGGGTGGTTTTATTTTCTGATCTGATGAACTGTTGGCTTTTCACTGGGACTTGCAGGTGGGATGACACAACAGCATTAAGGATTTTTGTGGATGAGGAGTTTGCAAAGATCCAGCCAGATACATTTGGCCACTAGCTAGGAGGAAACACAAATGCAGCCTCTGTTTCCTGCATCTGCTGGCATCTCAGGTTGCCTTGCAGAAGTAGTGAGGAATGTATTTGTAAAGTGTCAACTAGTTCCATGGTTACTTTTACTCAGGTCAAAACTAGGGGTGTCTGAACATGAGTAGAATGATCCATTGTAGTAAAAGCAGGTTCTATGCATGGGTCTAGAGACAGGATCTTGAGCAACAGTTGTGGAGCTCAGCTTTAACATTCAAAAGAGCAGTCTTTCCAGATGCTGAGATGGAAATATTCCTTCTTCTTTTAGAAGATAATTCTGTTTAAACCACTTAGAAATACTAGGTTAACCCCCCTCCACCAAAAGAAAACAGCAGTTCAGAGAAATGAGAAAAAGTTATGACTTTCTACATCTTTCCCCTTTATCTTTGTCACAAACGCATTCAGGCTTAAAGCCTGCAGCTGGGCCAGAAACCCTACAGGAACCTTAAGGACTGAGGTTTTCTAAAGTACTTTTCTTGAAAAGTACAGAAAAAAGTCCAGAGGTCTCACAAAGATGCTTATTTGCTGAAGGCCCTGCAGCAACAGTGGAAGCAGGGATGGCTTTTCCAGCATTAGTACTGGAACTAGATGAGTTTAAAGTGAATGTCAGCACTGTTCAGTTTTCTTCTTCCCCTTCCTCTCAGGCTACTTCTTCTATTTAAACCTAAAATTAGTGATCATCCTGCTGCCTCTCCAGCCTCTCTTTCTCTTGTAAGCCTGGCCAAGATGCCCTCAGACTGCGTTCATCTATGAATAAAGCGCAGAATCACTGACATCCTGCACCTGCTGCAGAAATGGGGCTTTGCCCCATCAGAATATCTTAACACAGTCTTGCTTGGGGGGGGGGGGCCTCCCGCCGCTCACCTCCTCCCGCCGCTCACCTCCTCCCGCCGCTCACCTCCTCCCGCCTGCTAGAAAGTCAGGAAAGCCCTCTCCAGTCAAATGGATCATTAACAATTCTGTGTTTAAAATGGCGTGGCTTCCCTCAGAGGAGCAGGCAAGCACTACCGCCTCTCCCAGCCCCTGGCTGCTGTCTTTGGCACCCTCTGAGGGAAAGAAAGTCACAGGGGGGTCCCACCACAGGCTGAAGTGAGGGCTTCCTCCTGCCGGGACACATGGGGTAGCAGCACTGCCATCCCATGGCCGCTCCTTCCCTCCCTTCGCTGTGTCTAGGGTGTGCAGAGCACGCCGGTGCCCGCGGGAGGCTTCAGAAGAGCTGTGCCTTGGCTGGTTGCCCAGCCCAGCACAGGAGAGGCCACCTGGGACACACACACCTACGGAGAGCTTCCAGTCTTGACAACTTAAAATATAGGTAGCTGCTTTAGGTGCCTCAGGGGGTTGGGGATCACGGTCTTGGAGTTCAGCACCTCAGCTCCTCTTTAAGCACCCGAGCGGGATGGGCCTCCAGGGAAGAATGTATCAGAGAATTTCTCTGGCTTTATTTCCTGTAATTAGTGGCCTCAAAAATGAGAGAACTACCACTTTAGAGCATAAGTATATTTACACATCCACACATAACATCTACTTGCCTCTGTACCAGCAAACTTTCAAATTAAAGGAAACTTCTCCAGCGTTAGTTCATTTGTGCTGTAGAAGGAAAGCATCCAGATTCAAGACAGCAATTAGGCATGTACTTAGTTATGGGTTTAAGCCTGTCCTCTGTGTTTTCTTGAAGTGGGGCCTTTGACCCAGTCCTTCAGACGCTGAAGCACACACCTACCTTCACAGCCATGATTAGATCTGAGTGGAGCTACGTAACTTGGAGTGGATGTTGAAGTGCATGCAAGGAGTTGCACAATAGTGGTAGAGGCAAGACTCCACATTATCCCAGCAGTGGAGACTCGGTCTTGCTTTAAATAATCTCCATCCCCTTCCTGCGTGTTTTGAGGCCACTGATGCTTTCTATGATGACAGTTGTTTATCAAGATTTGAGATGTCACCCTCAGATGGTGCCCTTGTCCAGTAAATGGTTTTAAGTGCGATGGCACAAGATTCCTGTATTCTGCTGGCCAAGAAATCAGATTTTGGTAGTTTGTTTGTTAAATGTGCTGCTTAACCTCATTCAGCTGGGCCCTCAGATTGTATTTTAGTCTGTGATATTTTATTTTTGGGCTAGCAAACAGACCGAGGAAATTTGCTTTGCAAGTCCCACATAGTTCAGCATTTCATTCTTACCTCATCGTAGGAGGATTATTTTGGGATGGAAGGTGGAGAGGGTAACAGTTTAAAATAAATAAATAAATCCCTCCAAACACGTTGACTCAGGTGGTGACTATTTGATAATAATGTTCACCTGTTGCAATCACATGATGCAATTTCCTGCTGCTCATGTCGTGTTTGTCTCCTCAGTCAAGTATGGGCAGGTGACATCTTCTGGTCAAGCTTCAGGAAAAGAGTTTGAGTTGGGGGAATGCAGTTTGCATATTTGCGAAACATTTGGCAATCTTTCTGTTTCACTAACAGGTTTAACAAGGTTGAATTTAAAGGTTAAATTTAATCTAAAATTATTTAAAACCTTTTGGATTCTGTGCAGATGAACTTTTCAATGCTTGTTTTTAAATGTGATTTATTCTTTTCTTTTTCCTGCTGGCCCTGACACGCTGGCCATTAGCTAAACTCTGCCACTTGCTTTCCCTTTTGTTTATGGGCAGTTTCACTTTCAGGTTTTGAAGCCTTTCTGTTTGGGTTGAGAGGAAATACCTGCACTTGCTTAAAAAAGTGCCTCCTGGACTCTTCAAAAGGGCTCAGGAAAATTTTTTTGAAATGATATGAAAAGTTGTCTTCACAAACCCAGAATTTGGGAGCTGAATTTGGCTTAATACTGAGGATTATTCGAAGGCTCCCTCAAAGACCTTCTCAGGGCAGAATGTTTTCAAAGGCATGTTACCCTGCCTTGGACACATTCAGAAAACAGATGATCAGATTATATGCTTCTGAATGTTGGTCTCTGTTCTCATTTTGAGTGGGAACACTTTTTGTTTTGCCTGCTTCACAACTTCGAGGTTCTCTTTCTACTAGTAAAATTGGTGCTTAATTTAGACCGAAAATGTGAATCGGCGTAATTAATCTCCACCTTCCAAAGTGTTCGGTACCATCTCACTCCTGAAATTACTATTGAGATTACTGCCTGCCTACAACCGTTTTTCGGGGTTTTAGAAGAAAACATTATTGTTTTTCTGAAGTCTCTCTCAGGCTACAGCTCAGAGCACAAGAAATGAGAGCAAAGCCTACAGCTATGCAGCAGGGTGTAGCTGGAACACCCACATTGGAGTGACTCCAGGCAGCCCCTCCACTCAAGTCTTACTAATACTTAAAAGTAACATGAGTTTTGTTCCTTTGCCTCTTGCGCACGCTAACTAATCTCAGGTCTGAGCAAATAATCTGTTGACCTTGGTTAGAAGTGGATCAGGCTCCTTAAAGAGGCACATCTGGGTTTTTTCTTTCTTTTTTCCTCTCTCTCTCCTCAGATCAGTAACTTAGAAATGCAGCTGCACTGTTCTTGTTTTGTCATGAACCTCTTTTCTGTGTGTCCTGCCAACCACAGAAAAAAGACAGATCTTGGAAGAGTATGTGCCTATATTTAGTGTGTATATATGTGTATGGGGGGTGGGAGGGAGAAATGCGTTTCAAGAGTGAGAGGAAGACGTGATGGGTAAGAACTGAAATCTGAAATCACAAGTTTTAAAACAAAAATCCATTTATAAGAAATACATCTCTTTAACTTTGAAGTATATGGCTCCTTTAAGAGCAATGAGAAAGGTTGTAAACCTCTCAATCAGTCTCAGCCCTGGTTTAAATCCATGTTCAGTATAAAACATAAGAACCTCTCCTTGGCCCTCAACATTACCTTCTCTTATTTTACACAGTGCTGACACACTTGTTTATGTTTTGATATCTCTGGTGTTTTCAAGGGTTCATTGTGCTCAGGTAATAGGGGAAAAAGCCAAGGAGCAATTACAGACCAAAGATAGCAAACTGAAGAAAGCAGTCACAGTTAGACTTGAAAAATAATCTTTAAACGTTGCAAGTGCTCTCTGCACATGGAAATTAGTAGGAGGGAGGGCTTTACTGGGAACACTTTGAAGGGAAGGAAAGAGCAATTACCTTTAGTCTGTCATGTGGGGACATGGGCCTGTTGCACAAAGTTACATTCTCAGCTTCCTTTCTGTCACTCATGGGCTTGCTCCGGCGTGTAAGGCACTTACATCCCCACCCTGAGGTTTAACCTGGTGACAGCAGGAGCGTTCCTCCCGCTGGAGCAGTCCTGGTTTCTCTATCACTTTTCCAGCAGCGCCAGCACTTCCTCCTCTTCCCCTCCCCCTGGAGCTTTTTTCTTTAAGAGAGAAAACTGTCAATTTGAACTTCCTGCTTGACAGACCCCACTGAGAAACTGATGCGGTCCTGATAACATGGTATTTATTTATTTTCTCTTCTGCGAGGCTTCACAAGTCCTACTTCCCACCCCCACCCAGCTTTCAGTACTTCCCTGTCTCCATACTTCCCAGTGCTGATAGCATCACCGGGAATGTTTGCTGATAAGAAGATATAGATAATATGCAAAGTGCCCTTGTGGAGCTTCTTGAATCTAGTGAGTGTAACATATTGTCTATGTTACACCCCAAAATCCGGGTAGACGTTCAGAAAATGAGTTACCAGTCCACAAGTACAGAGAAAACTATCGAAGAAAGGAGATGATTTTTAATGCCATTCAACACAACATACTATTAATTTATTTCTGAAACAGCCTTGCATTAAGCTGTAACATCAAAAGAAGACATTGGGAACCTCTCTGCACACTTACATGCGTATGTGCTTGCATTGCAACACACCCTATGTTTTATCCTAAATATATTATTGAACATAACCATGTTCAGTAGCATTTCATTGCAACTTGGAAATACACAAACTGCCCACATGTCAAAACTAAATTTTCTTGCTGCTAGTCTAGCAGCATTTCAAGAAGGATGCTACTGTACAAATGGGTTGCTGTGAGAAAGAGCATGCTTTGAAAGCAGCTGGGTTTTTTTGGGTACATTTTATAAATGGCCATTTCTTTGCCTTATAGGGTAATGTTGCCAAATGATAGATTCCATCAGGGTAGTGAATAGTCAAGCAAAGAATCAGTGTTGAAAGTGGTGTGGTCATTGCCTGTTCCCATCTTCCTCACTGGGTTCAGCTGGTCCTCCAAAGATCAGAAATAAGAGTTTCTCACCTCAGTTAGTGAAGTAAGATCAGTCAGGCACAGAAGCAGAAACTTGGCTGCAGGGCTGCGATACTTTCAAGTTGCATACTTAGCGGCATTGACTTGTACCTCCTGATGGAAAACTTTGCACATAAGTAAGCATGAATATGAAACCTTCTTGTAGTTTTTGCCCTGTAATAAAATATCTTACAAGACATCATTTTGTGATTATATAACTATTAACTGTGGGAGATGAGATAAAAGCATACTTCTTTTTCTATTGAAGACATCTTTCAGTACACTCTTCAGATTATATTATGTCCAGATAACAAGGTCGAGCCTTTGAATACAAATAAACAGTGTATGTGCTGAACTGAGCCAAATGGATGCTAGCTTCTATTTCCTTCTAAATAAATATTTCTTTTTCCTTTTTTTTTTCTTTAAAGTACGTTTCAGCTTAAGCTGGAGCCAACTGCTCTTGCTTCCTTTTGCTTTGCTTCAGCAGTTTTTTTTATAAAGTGCAGCTGTAAGCAGAGGAGCTTTGCATAGACCGAATGCCACAGAAATCTGCAGTAAATAGTCTGCTTTGTTGTAGATATTCCTAAGCAGTATATTTAATGAGTAATGATCTGTTTACTGATGGAGAATACCTTCTCTTTGAAGGCAGCTTTCATCCCAGCCAGCCATGGTTTTTTCGGTACTGTAAGTAATTGAACTGGCTGGTGAAGTGACTGCTGCGGTTTGGCAAAAGCCGATTTGTCATGCCTTGTTATTTTACTGAGGAACATTTCTAGGAGCTTATGTTCTGCAAAGTCCTTCTGTTGAACCTGTATTGTGAACAAATGCTTGTTACCACATTTATTAGAAATACTGCCTAAACGGATGTTCAATTAGTCAAATTTAAGGGGAAAGAAAGGTGAAATCAGTTTGTAAAGTGGAGACTAGCATTCTGCAAATGAATCGTCATCCAGATCTGTATGTACTGGCTGGTATCCCTTAAATTAACAATGCTGTTTATCAGCACTTACTACCAGCAGGCATTTCTTCACACAGAAATCAGTTTTTTTGGTGAGTGAAATGGTTCCTCATCTCTGAGAGTGGCTCTTCCTCCCCACAAAACTTGTGGGAGTTAGATTCTGTTTTGAAAAGAGATAACAACAGTGGCATATCTAAATAATTATTATCTCGTCTTTATATTTCAGCACAAACCAGCGTTAATCCAAAGCAGCACAGTGCTGATAAAGACGAGCTCTATCAGAAAAGCATCCCAAAGAAGGAGCACAGTGTGAAAGAAATCCTGAAAATGGAATCCAGTCCTCCAAAAGGAAAAGATTTCTTCCAGACCAACATTTCACCAGTTACCCCAGAAAAAGACTTGGATGATTTGCATAAGAACTATAGCCCAGAGAGGTGTTTCTTCCCTCGAGTTGTCTACCCAATCCGACCTCATGTTCCAGAAGACTATCTGAAAGCTTCCTTAGCATACGGGATGGACAGACCCAGCTACATTACTCACTCACCCATCCAGACATCCACTACACCGAGTCCTTCTGGGAGGAGCAGCCCAGACCAAAGCTTAAAAAGTTCAAGCCCTCACAGCAGTCCAGGGGTCACGGTTTCGCCCCTGGCGCCCACTTCCCAAGAGCACAGAGAGCCGTACTCTTACTTGAATGGATCATATGGCTCGGAAGGATTGGGGTCTTATCCTGGATATGCACCCCCTGGCCACCTCCCACCTGCCTTTCTACCGTCCTATAACCCCCACTACCCCAAATTCCTGATACCTCCATTCAATATGAGCTGTAATAACCTGAGCGCTTTGAACAATATCAATGGCATCAACAATTTCAATCTCTTCCCAAGGATGTACCCTCTCTATGGCAACCTGCTCAGTGGAGGTAGCCTTTCCCACCATATGCTGAACCCCACCACACTCCCCAGTTCATTGCCCAGTGAAGGAGGCCGTCGATTGCTGCAGCCTGATCATTCGAGAGACTTCCTCATACCAGCACCTAACAGTGCCTTCTCTGTCACGGGCGCTGCTGCCAGCATGAAGGACAAGCCATGCAGCCCTACCAGCGGGTCACCCACAGCTGGTACAGCAGCCAGTTCAGAACACATAATGCAACCTAAACCTACCTCAGTGGTGTTGGCTGCCACCGGTGGTGAAGAAGCCATGAATCTCATTAAAAGTAAGAGGAATGTGACCGGTTACAAAACCCTCCCATACCCACTGAAGAAGCAGAACGGAAAGATCAAGTACGAATGCAACGTTTGCTCGAAGACCTTTGGCCAGCTCTCCAATCTGAAGGTAGGCAGCGGAAGATGAAACACAAGCCTTCTTGGAAGGCTCTGATTTATCCCTGTAGGATATCTAGCAAAAGCAGGGATGGACCTCCCATGCTTGTTAGGCTGTGTATCAGTTAGGCTGTGTATCAGTCTGGGCTTAATATGGTACCGCCAGCAAGAAACCATGGCTGTAAAGACAGTGTTTTAATACCCACACCACCTAATTAACTAGATAACATTGTGTTTTGGCAATGGGAGTCTTCTGCTAACTGAGGGAAACACCTGAAAATACTTTTGTTACAGTACTGAAGACTGCAAACTGCTAATTGCTTTGTTTCTCCCTAGGTGCACCTCCGAGTGCACAGCGGAGAGAGACCATTTAAATGCCAGACTTGCAATAAAGGCTTCACACAGCTGGCTCACCTCCAGAAGCACTATCTGGTACACACAGGAGAAAAACCCCACGAGTGTCAGGTACGTAACACCACAGAGATAATGTTCCCAAAGGGATGGCTGGGCAGCATGCAGGGAGGGCTCTGTGACCAACCCTTGGCTGCTCAAGGATGGAGTCTGTATCACAGCCACTTCCAGCCCTGGTGCAGCAGCACCTGGGAGACGGCAGGGTTGCCCTTAGCCTGCTAGAGCAACATCTGCCTGATACAGTTTTGCCATCGGCCATGCTCAAAATGCTGCTCAGCAATAAAATACAAAAGGTGGGGATTTTTTTCCCCTTTGTGAGAAAGCATGAAAATATATAAAATATATAAAAAGCTTCTGCTTCATCCTGCCGTCTCCTCCTAGGTGTCTGTGGTTTAAACCATAAAATCCCCTCCCACTCATTCACTGTTTCTCTGCCAACCCCCCACATTAGGTTTGTCACAAGCGTTTCAGCAGCACCAGCAATCTCAAAACCCACCTGCGGCTCCACTCTGGAGAGAAGCCTTACCAGTGCAAGCTCTGCCCAGCCAAATTCACCCAGTTTGTGCACCTGAAGCTGCACAAGCGTCTTCACACCCGGGAACGTCCCCATAAATGCATCCACTGCCACAAGAGCTACATTCACCTCTGCAGCCTCCAGGTCCACCTGAAGGGCAACTGCCCTGTCGCCCCTGCCTCTGGCCTGTCCATGGAGGAGCTGAATCGAATCAACGAGGAGATAGAGAAGTTTGACATCAGTGACAATGCCGACAAGTTGGAAGAAGTGGAGGACAGTATCGACTTAACATCTATCGTGGAAAAGGATATACTGACCATGCTCAGGCGGGAAATGGAAGGAGCTAATCTGAAAGTGTCTCTACAGAGGAACCTGGGAAATGGACTTATCTCCTCAGGATGCAACCTTTACGAGTCGTCAGATATGTCAATTATGAAGTTGCCTCACGGTCACCCACTACCTCTGTTACCTGTAAAGGTCAAGCAAGAAACAGTTGAACCAATGGACCCTTAAGACTTTTCGGCAAAGTGATTTCTTTTTTTAATTTATGACTTGGCAAGTCAGGGTGCCTGTAGCAGTTGCTTGTACATAGTTTCAATGCTGCAAAGCAATCTTGGCTTACAGTAGTTTCTCTACTCTCTCCCACTGAAACAAGGAACTCCAAAGTTACTGTTTTCTCAGGGCATAAAAAGGGGCAAAGGACTGTGCATTGCCTCGCCAGTTATTAAGAGACAATCATCTATCCGTAATTATTTTTTCAATAATAGTACTTCATAATTTATTATGCAATTAATCGTTCTAAAAGCAATAATTAGGAAAATGTTTACAATGACTGGAAAATTCATTGTAATTTTTACTTTAAATGTTTTTAATTTTTGTTTTATGGCCATTCTTTGTAGATACTTTTTTTTTTTTTCCTGCACATCTGTTTCAAGAACCTAAGATTGGGGTTTCCGTAAATGTGTTTTATGTACCGATGTCTTTTAAACAAATGTGGTTTTTCCTGTTGCCAAAGTTGGACATTAGACATGCAGAATCCTAGATCTGTTGGTTTGAAAAAAACACTGTCTACTTTTATGTGCAAATCACCCCGCTGGGAATTGGAATGGGAAACAAAAAAAGAACCAACCCAGAGTAGGAGCAAGCAGGGACGAAAGTGCTGCCCCTGGCTCTCTGAGGATAGGAGAGAGGTTCTTCTCCCTGCAGCTGTCCGGGGAGCAGATGTGGCACAGCAAACACCCACCTGCCATGGACAGTGATCCCACAGGTTTTTAGGACACAGCTTTAGCGCCACATTGTTGTGTCGTCATTTAGCCCCACATTTACATTGTCGTGTAACTTGATGACCAAAGGAATGCATGAGCTTCAAGTGGCTCTTCCAACAATCCCACCTACACTCTTCCTTTTCCAAAAGCAGTTTAAAAGCAAACAGACAAATATTCTTAATATTCTGCCTAAAAGGAGGGGTTTGTCAGACTTGTTTCTTCTCTTTTATTTTTGTTTTCATTTGGCCAGAGCCTTCCAGGGATTAAAAAATATATATATATAAAAAAAATGGTCAGATTCCCTGGGAAAGAAGGGGTTCAGTTTTACTTGTATTTTCCTCTCCCACTTTGTCTGGGTAGAAGTGGGGAACAAAGTCCTTTCCTGGCACATACATTTTTCTCCTTCCTTCATGTATGATTCAGATTTTTCTCAGTATTTGTACATTTTGTGATTAATTTAATTAAAGAAGAAAAGGGCATTGCAAAGTTGTTGAACAACAATTACCTCAGTGCTTGTGTCCAGTGGTGCAGACAATGCTGTTTTATCTAAATGCTTTGCTACTTTAGAGAAGAAACCAAAATGTGCACAGGGAAAGATAGAATACGCGTCCTTTTATCTTTTTGTTTTGCTAAGCCCAAAGATGACGTTTGAGGTGTAGCAAAGATACATGTATATTTATAGATATATTTATACCACTATACTATATATGTATATGTATATATATTTATACCACTTAAGTTGTGAGCCAAACCATGTAATAAAACCTATTTTTCATCTAAGCGTGAAAATCAGATGTTATCCGGTTTTGCATGTTACAAATGACCTCAAACCCAGGAGAAGGTTGTATTAAGGCGTTTACTCCGGGTGCAGCCCCAGCTTGCAAACACCTTACCCGAGCAATGTCACCCACACATGGTGTCACAGTAGGAACGACCCTGTTTGCAGGACAGGGGTCCCCCATCACTCCCCTGCTCTCCCAGCAGCAGGTACAGCAGGGAAGGAGGTGGGTGGTCACTGACCAAACAGAGCCAGAGAACGTAGCTAGAAGAACCTGAACAGAAGCCAAATAGGACCTGTGTGTGGTGCAGGGCAGGATGGAATTCCAGTGGGATGAACCCCTCATCTTGTTTTACCCTGCCATGAACAAGTTGCCCAGTTAACTTGCATAACTGTAAGTAGCATTATTGCACACCTCCTGCTATCTGTACCTTTTTGCCGGGTTATATTCTTACGAATGTTAAAGTAGCCCACTGCAGCAATCCAGGACTCGCTGGTTTTTATCAGCAAAATTCCTTTTAATGCCTTCAGTTTAAAACCAGACAATCCCAAAATACAAGTCTCTCCACACAGCTTTTGAAGGACTACCTACAGTTCATTACATTTCCACTCCTGCAAATTGTGAGGCTGACATCTTTTAAATGTAGCAATAGTTCATAAATATAGTACTTACTTGTAGGATAAACCAAAGTATCACTACTCTGTCACTGGACACACACTTTTCCTATTATTTGCCTGTAGTGCTTTCTTGTATTTGATACAAATTTTACAAGAATTTATATGCGTCAGCTTTAAGAATTGTTACTTCTCTTTACTGTTTCCCCCTTCCCTTAGATGTTTTACATGTGAATGTAGCAACAATCAACAGTGTTTTGGGGTTTGGTTTTTTTTTTGTCTCTCTTAAGAAAGACTCTGACCAAAGTTAACAGCTTTTTACTTTGCTAGGACAACAAACTATCCTATGTTTACGTATTGGTTTACATCATTATTTATGTGCAAATTGTCAAATGTAAATTAAATATAAGTGTTCATTGCTTTACCAATGCTTCCCTTGTCTTCAATCCGAGAGCATGCCTGCGGAGCCTCGTTGTGGGGCGCCCTCCCCTCCCAGCCGCAAACACACTCTGTGCCGAGGGCGATGATGTCTCCGACAATGCCGACTTCTGCCTTTGTGGGTTCCTGGTTTTCCGTGCTGGAAAGCTGCGAGCAGCCGTGCCAGAGCCGAACACCCTGGCTTTGTTAACTACAGCACTCTCCTCGCCTTAGCCAGTACCTAAAAAAACAAAATGGGATGATTAATTTTTTAAACCCCAAGAATTTTCAGTGTTTTGATGGAAATTCTCGACTGCTCTGTGCCTCGCAGAGATGCGAGCAGGGTTCTCATTTACATTTTCCCAAATGATTGTCATTTCTGGTCTGAAACCCTAACCACTGGGACCACAATGACACAGTCGCAATGTCAGCGTGAGACCACTTAGTCCTGTATCGACATGGTGGGAACTGCATTCAAAACAAATGGGGATCTGTTTTCACTGCTCACAAAGGATACGCGAATGTGAATGATATCCAGCAGATCAGGCACCCGTTCATTCCCCCACCTTGACCAGAAAGTTACAGCAGGCTGGGATGCCCAGAAAGCTAATTCAACATTTGCTACTTCCATTATTTACTGTGAGATTGAAACCAGAGAGGCCATGTGCTGCCCTGCCCTACCTGCACGCTAAAGAAATAATGTTGCTGCTCATATTGAGACACTCAGCGCCGTATGATGTTTTAGAAGTATTTCACTGTCCTCTTAAGAAATTCATTTAAACATCTGTCTCAAGAATTTGACATACTGCCAGCTCCGAGCTGTGGAGTTAAGAAAACCAGAGCACTGTTGTCATAAACGTGCCAAATGCAGCATGTTACAGTCCTGTACTCGACAGAGCTATTGCTGTAATAATGTTTTTTAAGAAAAGCAGAGGATAACCGTTACCACCATAAATCATGCTTCATTTCTTGGCAGAGCATTGCGTTGTGCTGGAGAGTTATGTCCTGGGGACACTTGTAAGCTTTAGAAGATGTTTAATAAAACACATTACATAAAAAGACAATGCACGTTATAGATCACAGCCTCGCAGGGCCGAGCACGGCAGCTGCTGCCTGGGTTTCTGGCAGCCCCCAACCGCTGGAAGCCACTGAGGGCATGTGCTGCAACCAGAAATACAGCAGGTTTCAGCCGTGGCAACAGCACCACCAGGTCAGCTAACCCTAACAGCCTCAGCAAGGTGCAGGGCAGGAAAGCTTCTCCTTTTGGATGCCGCCATGAAGTGCAGCCCTGCAAGGCCGTGCACCCCCAGCAGATGGGCTCGATGTGTACCTTGCTGCCACCAGTGTGAAAATGGTGGGGACCAAGCATGATGTGGCCAGGAAGGCAACATGCATTTTCCTTCCGGGGCTTTGACAGCTGAGCTGTTTTGCCACTGAACAGGGTGAAATACAGCTGTGATAGACTCAAACACAGATGTAAGGATGGCCAGCAGGTGGTAGAGGGAGGTGATCCTCCCTGTCTACTGGACTCTGGTGAGGCCTCTGAGGACTCTGGAGCACCATGTCCAGTGCTGGGCTCCTTCGTACAAGACAAGTTGCTCTTGGAGGGGGTCCAGTGGAAGGCCACAGGGATGGTCAGGGGTCTAGAGCATCTCTCTTATGAGGAGAGATTGCAAGAGCTGGGCCTACTTAGTCTAGAGAAGAGAAGGCTGAGAGGGGATCTCAATAATGCATGTAAATATCCCAAAGGTGGGTGCCAGGAACATAGTGCCAGACTTTTTTCAGTGATGCCCAGCGACAGGACAAGGAGCAATGGCCACAGACTAAAACACAGGAGGTTTCACCTTGGACTGGATGATCCCAGAGGTCCCTTCCACCCTGGAATGATTCTGTGATCATGTGATCCCTCCCTTCTGGCTGGTTTATAAAGCACAGTGCCTCTCAGCTGAGTGCTGGGGGAGACACCGCTAATTCCCAGTGTGGCAATTACTGCCTTGAGGTCAAAAATGAAAAACGTGACTCACTGAGGGGGTATGAGCCCTTCGGGTTCAAATCAGTGGCTGCCAGTGCACGGCTGTGTGCCAACGTGCTGGGACTGCACGGGATGCAGCCCGAAACCTTTGCTGTCGTTCAGAGGCATTACGTTAAAGCGAGGGAAATAGTTGTGGCTGTAATTAAAGGCAGCCAGGAAACACTTGGCTAATTACTGCATGAGCCAGGTCTGAGTGGATGTGGTGCGGCCGAAGAATGTGCCTGTAATGGGGCAGGTATCTGCAAAACACAAGCTGTCATGGTGGCCTAAGCAAAACTCACCACCAGCATCAGAGAGCTGCCCTGCAGCGAGAGTGAGGTCTCCCTCGTCCTCTGTGACTGGCCGGCGTACACTGGCAGGGAAAGGGCAGCTGCCTGAGCTGGGATGTGTAGGCACAGGTGGGAATTTTGGTGACTTCAGCATTACCCAGTCCTACCTGAAGAGCACAGAAACATGGCTTTTTGCCAAAGACACAACGCTTCCCAAAAGCACAGGTGTTCAATTTCTCATCGGATGCTGATGAAGGGCCAACCTGCAGCCAGCATCTGCCATTCCCGTTCTCACAAGCAGCACGTGGAAGTGCAGGCAGGTAGCACATTTGCACACCCACTAAGGCCACATTTGCACTAACTGAGTCAGTGGCAGAAGGCTCAAGATGCATGACTTTGCTTTTGCTCATTTATAAAAGAGGCTGGGGAAGATTTCCTAGCAGTTCACAGTGGTGGCCGAAGTGGTGAGAAGTTTCTAATCCTCACCAAGCCACTGCTGCCTCATTGCCTGCTGCAGATGCAAGGTTGCATTTTTGTCCCATGCTAGAGGGGTCAGATGTCAATTGCTTAGAGGCACATGCAAGCAGACATCACCTTTTGCTTCAAAACCAAGCCTCATTGCCTCCACTGTGATAGCTTGCAGCTTGACACAAGTTGGATGGCAGCCTGTGCAGGAAAACCCGGTGCAGGGATGATTAGATGATGCTTTCCACCTGCAGGCAGCACAGGCTCTGCTGGCTCAGGCCATTCATCTCTGCAAAAGGACACCTAGGAAAGACACCTGAGAAAAAGAAGGGCTCCTGAAGTGTTGTCTCATCCTGCACTGATGTGGTTGGAACTGGATGATCCTTAAGGTCCCTTCCAACCCAAACCATTCTATGAGTCTATGTCCTACCACTCACTATAAAGTTCTCCCCAGCACCGTCTCCAAGGGCAGGGCAATGTGGCCCCGTGCACCAGCCAAAGCCAGTGCCTGAACATCTGTCTCTTGGCACTTCAGAGGTACCTGCCAGCCACCACATCTCGCCACAAACTGCTGTCTGGAGCTGGGAATTGAACAGACCGGCTGCTGTGGAAGGTAAGCCAGGTTCCAGGAGCAGGGCAAGGAGCTGAGGTCACTGGGAAGGTGGCATCTACCCTGGGGAGGCATATATACCCTTCCCAGCAAGGACCCCCACAGCTGGCAGGGGGTAATCTCTGGCACAGGGCATGCATAAACTTCTGCTCCCTTTCAATGCCATGGCTTGGGGCAGGAACCCATGCCCAGATCATGGGGATGGGCAGTGCTGCTGTGTGTGTGGGGCAGAGATCACAGAATCAGAAAAAGTTTGGGTTGGAAGGGACCTTAAAGATCATCTGCTTCCAACAGGGACGCCTTCCACTACAGCAGGCTGCTCAAAGCCCCCTCCAGCCCTGCCTTGAACACTCATAGCATCTTGAACATCTCTAAAAAGAGATGTCTGTCTCTCAGGGAAAGGAAGACGGGCACTCAGAGCTGGTGGCCAGGCATCCTGGTGGCACACAGGCCAGTGGCCCTTCCCTCCTTTGTGGGGAGATGGTTGGGATGCCAAACCACTTAGGTAGGTGTGACCAAATAGCCCTATTGAAGGGAGCCAAACCAGTGCGACTTCCTTATTGTGCAATGATTAATAAAGGCTTTCAGCTCCTTTTTTTCCATTAATTGTGAATAGGCAAGTCCTTGATCATTTCCTTATCCAAGGACTGAGTGAGATTCCTTACAGCATTCCTGCCCAAAGTGGCTGCACTGCGCTGGGAAGAGAAGCTGTGATATTGAAACCATGCACAGTGAAATCAAAGGCTGAGCACATTTTTCCTGGTTTGCTCATGCTGAGGACTCTGCCATGACAACGGGATACTGGGCCTAGGATTAGGGAGACCCCAACATTCCTGCCTTATACCAGTTGTGTTCTACACGGTAAATCCTAATTTAAATGAGCAAAGCAGAGAGTAGCTTTTGGGCAGGAAGAGGTGAGTGCGGCAGGGAGCAGTCTATACGGGTTTTCTTGGATATTATAGTCTTGGTTTCCAGCTTCCCTATGTCAGGACTTTCTGCCCTCTGTTCCTCTGCAAACCACAGGAAGTTATTTACTTTCCCCCACCCTTACTCTACGTTGTGCATGCTCTGCTCTTCTTGTCAGCCTCAGAGCCCCGTGCAGAAACTCTTTAGGGTTGGGTTTCTTCTGGCCAGGCAGGCACGGTGTCCCCAGTGAGCGGGGCTGGGTGGTGTCCCCAGGAGGTCTCACTTTACCGACAGCTGGTCGCGAAGAAAACAAAGGTTGAAAACATGGCAGAAACTGCAGCCAGGTGCGAAGGGGAGCAAGGACACGTGAAAAGTGAAAATCTGCCTGCTTAATGAGCTGTGACAAGTTAGCTGGGTGCGCAGGAGGGAGCACTCGCTGGTCTCAGTCATTCAGAGAAGGTTGTGTGTCTATGTGTGTGTGTGATGAGACCAGCAGGTGCAGAACAGGGCTCCTTTTCTAACCTATATTGCAGCAATTTGTGCAGGTCTGTAGCTGTGGGTGTCATGCACTTTCTACTCCGAGTGGTAAGTTTCAGTTTGATTCTGCTCTCAAGAGCTGTGGGGACAGTTTGCACTCGCCTTATCAACACAGAATCCAACAGCTTCATGGTGTGCCCAGCCCTCTGACACTGCGAACTGGGGAAATACCCTTTAAGCACAGGAAGGTGAGTGAGGTGTTGAGCAGAGGCCTTTTTCTCACCAGAGCATCCCAGTTTGCCAAAACCCTCATCCCAATCAGCAGGGCAATAAGTCACCTCGAGAGCTGCAACCTTAGCAGTGCCCTGACAGGCCCCTGGCTGGGACCTCACTGTTCTAACCCCTGCACTACCTCCTCTGGCCCCTTGCAATAATGCCCCAGCACCGGGGGCTCAACCTGGCTGCTGCAAACTGGGCAGTGCAGGAGGCACTTGCCTGCCCCCGTTCCTCCTTGGGTTGGCCCTGAGAAAGCCTGGCCACGAGCCACTGACCAAAATTGTGCCCACGATTAGAGATGGCAGCAAGGGAAGGGCAGGGCAGGTGCTTCCATGGCCCTTGGGAAGCAGCTCTGGTTTGGCTCCAAAGACTCATGGTCTCATCAGTAATAGAATCATAGAATAGTTTGGGTTAGAAGGGGCCTTCATGCAGCTGATTTCTAAAACAGCATTGCTGTCTCTACACCTGCTTGCTAAAACCTCTCATCTTTTACACTACACACCTATGTTCATGCTGCCCACCCTGTGGACAGTGACTGAGAAGTGCCCCACATCCTCCATCCCTACACCTTCCACCTGGGGGGGTCCTGTGTGGCGTCCAGCCCCATGCAGCAGCCTCAGTGTTCCATCACCCTTGAGAAAAGCCTGTTCCCTGCAGAGAGACCCCACAGCAGCCTCAGCAGTTGCTGCCAAAACCTGCAAAAAATACCCCCCCCCCCCGCCTCCAGATCTGAAGCCCCTTAGGAGGATTTCAGCACAGTTCCGCAGGGAAGCCCAGACTCCTCTCACCCTCCTTGTGTGCCACACTTCACTGGGAGCCTTGTTTGTAGAATACCCAAGTGTTCCTCAAGTGAAGTATGACCTACATAGCAGCTAAGAGCGATCTGCAGATTTCCTCCCTCCCTCAGATTTGGACGAGGTTTTGAATGCCCACCCAGGTACAACATTCAGGAATGACTGTGGTATTTGCTGCACAGTCACTTGTCTTGCTTGAGCTCAAAAAGAAGCCCAGGTGATGAGGTGGAACAGTGGCTGCAGGTGCAAGTGTTTCAGGCTCCCCTGGGGCAGGGGCAACGTGGCACAGGCTATTCTGCTGTCTAGGGTAGGATTACCCTTATTCTGCTAGCAAGCACCCCACAGAGAAACAGGCTGTGGAGTGACGGGGGGTAGAGACTATACTGGAGTACAGAAGAAACCCAATTTCCTTCAAAATCTCAGCTACTCGTCCAAATTAAAGAGGCCAGAAAACAAGGGCCCTCCTGACCATCAAGC